AGGGAAAGACCATGGGATCCCAGGGCCATCTTGTTTATCAGTTTTCGCAACAGGGCAGTGCTTTTGCAGGACAAATCCCTGTGCCTCAGCCAAATCTGACCAGCTGGAAACTGAGGGAGGAGGTGGGCAAACAGAAGGAGGTGCTTCCCTACCACCCTAGTCCTCCCCACCAACTCTTTCAGCACAGCAAAAATTTGTGAATTTTTACTCTCAAAATATCAGGCAGTACTGTGCTACTCTCTTTAAGGTTGCTGTTGTACCGGCTTCCCATGTTGCTGCTCAACTCTACTCAGTCGTGACTGGAGTTAGCACAGAAGATCCAGGTTCCCCAGGGAGATTAAGCACCATCCTAGTCTGGGGCATTTCTTACAGACTGCTGTTGGTTATAGAGCCCTGAAAGTCTGTTTGTTTTGTGAATCCAGTTCCTAGGAGGTTTATTTTGTTTGCACACAGGCTCAGCCCAAATGCTATGCATTGCTCTGGATGGCGGGATAGCCAGGACTTAAATGCAGCAGTTCTGAATGTTTCAGTGGCTTGTTCTCCCTTATAAATTAAAACCTCTTATCATTGACAGTCAGTGGAGCTGCACCGTTAACTCCATAGCAAGAGGTTTGCGTTTTTGGAACAAAATATTCCCATGCCGCTTGTATGTGGCTTAGCTGGTGAAAACAAAGCTGTTACCTATCACAGCTCTTCTAGATAACAGGTCCCTTCTCCATTGTTTCTGCTGAAATGTCATCTGGAGTTTCTGTACAGATGTTCAGGGTTGAATCCTGTCCCCAGTTGCTCATCAGTCCAATAGGTTGTTCTTGCAGAGCCGAACAAAGACACAGTAGCTTGCACTGTATATCTTGGCGCAAAACGTCACTGGATGAAGCTTCAGACTGGAAATGTGTGGTATTTTTTATGCTACAGGCATACAAAAAAAACCTTCTGTTCATATAGCTCCTTTAAGTGAGCACATTGTTATAACTACATTCTCCTTCTGATGTTAATATGTGAGATTGAGCAGGGCTGAGCCTGGGCAGTTCCTGAGTGATAAAACTCTTTGTAGGTGGTGACCTTCCCTGGCATTGTTACTGCTGAATTTTGACCCAGCATGATAAAGGGTAACAGTATTAAACTCTTTGGGATGCTGCTGTCAGACTGTGTTGCTTCCTGACATGATTTGGGCCTTGGCACTTTCCATCAACAGAGATGCTGATGTTCTTGCTCAAAGAATGTCATTCTGCCAAAATAAAATGCCTGCCTTGTGCTCTGAAAGCCATGCTGCTTTTCACTCCTCCTTTTGTGAACCTTCTGTTGCACCAGTCCCACAGAACTGCAGTAGCCTTATGCCCCTTAGATCCGCCCTGTTACAATTGGGAACTACGGAGAAAATTCACTCCATGCAGAAAGCCAGTACAAAATGGAGGGTACTGGTCAACTTACACTCAGAACTGAAAAATCCTGCTTTGAACACTGTGTAGGCTTCATGCTAAACTCTGTAAAAAGGGCATTTTCACAGAAAGTATTATGCAGTCTAAAATTGTCCTTGGTTATTCAAAAGCTTAAAGAAGGTGTACCAGGCAGTTAAAAGCAGAATCTGGTGCTCTGTCTGCAAACGGCAGCACTGTCCTTTGGGATAAAAGGTGCTTAAGAAATGTAAGTTATGATAATAGTGAAAAATTTCTGTCTGTGTTGTGGGATGGTGTTCGGAGTCACGCACATGCAGAGAGGGAAAGAATGGGCTCTTGGCAGGGGAGTTTTCATGAGGGCCCAGCACTGACCCATGTGGAGTGGGGATTCTCAAGTTACAGATGGAGGGAGAAACAGGATCAGAAAAACAGAAACGGTTTGAAGTTCAGGTGATGAAAAGTGGTAGGCTGGAGTTCAAAGACAGAATTATTGGCTAGTGTTGCTTTAGTAGTTGGTGGGAGAAAAGCTTAAGGCCAGAGCATTACTGCAGTGCTGATTTATCAACACAGCCAACACTGTGTATGGTATTTGAGACACTTCTAAATCCAGCCGCCGGCAATGAAAAGCACATTTAATCCATGTGTTAGATTGTTTGAAGAGGTATCTGTCTCCCAGTCTCTATTCCAAGGTTGAGATTGCTGAAATTGAAGAGGAGGTGAGAGGGAAGATTTTAACTGTTTCACAAACTGTTCTCCTTTAGAGGGGGGTCACATTTGCAATAGACCCTTTAACATTTGGGATATAGAAAAATGAAAGGTTCTCTACTCTCTTATCCCCTCCAGAGAGAACCCCCACTGTCTCTTCTCTGTCTAAGGCACAGAAATCAAAGAGAGGATTTGTATGAAAATAGTTTATTGTTTTTAACTGTGTTCTTTTCCTCAAGCTGGGATTAATGGTCTGCACTTAGGAGTTCCAGGATTCATCTGCATTGTTGGCTCTGATCTCTCTGCAGCAGGCCACCACTGCAAAATAAAATACTGAAAAACAGCCCTTAGTAAAGTAATTCTCCTTTAGTCTTTTTCTTCAGTTATCTTACATGAAAGAGTATCATTATTTAATCAGTTCCCTCAAGGGTTAATTCCTCTTCAATTTAATACTCCTGTGCTCTGTTAGTGTGCAAGGGGCTGATACTGGCTATGGAGGCTTATAGACTGAAGCTCCAAAAATGTCTATGCAAGAATAGAGGACAGTTCTCAAATCAGGCCTGAGCTGCACCTGCAGAGTTACACCAATGCCTTGGAATAAGAGTAGGGCAATCAGAGGGCGGACCTAATTAGCAAAGGTTATCCAAAGTAAGAACTAAAGAGCATCAGTAAGTCAACAGAGAGAACAGGGAGTGAAAGTGTTTGGAATAGATGGAAAGCTGAAGACTGAAAATAAAGCACCAATGTGCTTTAGGGTGTTATGGTTCAGCATTGTGTATATTGGAAGCCTAAGGCAACAAGATGGAATAGCAGGCATACAGCAGACCTCAACTGAGCTATTGACTCAGATCTACACGGGAGGCCCCGACACTGCAGCAACCCCAGTTTTGCTGCAGAACAGTTTCATGCTGAACAAGCAGAGCTCTCTATGGACCACTAAAAACTTTGCCTTGGTTCTGCATAGCTCTTATCAGTCACATGAGTACGAATTCATCTATATGCAGCAAAAAAGAGGGTGTTAACAGAATCCAATAGGAAGCATGTAAAGATATTTTTATAGTTAGAAATTAGTTGTAACAAATCTCAAAACTAATATCCAGCGATGTTATCCACCCCTCCTGTGGATCACTTTATCCAGGCATCTTTAGTCAAGTGCAAAGGAACTCTGCAAGCAGGAAATAGACAACTTAGCCAATAAATAACTGCTTTCTACAGTTAGCACACCCAGAACTTAGTTAGGATTTAATGAAATATTAGGCTAAATATTAGCATACTCCTCATCTTTGTAGAGGCACCCAAAGATTCTTCACAGGCATCAATCAGAAGTGAAGAGTCAACCTCCATGGTTGCCATCTGTCACCAGCTGGGTCAGCTCTGATGGCAATGACAACTCAACTCAATAACCCTAATGATTCATGACAAGTTGTCAGCTAGACTGACTGTCCCAGTTAAACCTCATGTGGGTTTGTTTTTTCCCCGGAGATTTTATACATTGGTGGCTTTCCTTTTGAATCCCTGGGCTACTGCTGGTGCAGTCCCAACAGCCCTACCTCTGTCTACAATTTTTGCCCTGCAGACTTGCTCCCAGCTCACTCTTAGCAGTTTAAGTTGCACTGTATCAGAGCTGGGCCCTGGATCCTTGTTACACAGGTAGTTAAATCCCTGGGTTGTGTGTCAAAAGATTACAGGAGGTATTGTAGAGAATTGTATTGTAAAGAAGTAGCCTTTTGATTTTAAAGTGGCATAACTTTGGAGCTTGCTCAGTATCAGCACTTTTTGGGGATCTTGTATCAGTTCTAATAGGAGACGAGAAATATCTAACCCTACCTAGGGTTGTTCATACAGTTTCTTTCTAGGGCTTTCTGGTTAAGAATGTTTTGGTTCAGGCAAGTTGGCACTTCTTCTCAAGCCATAAATTCTGGGTGTTTTGGTGAGAAGTGAGGTTAGGTAATGGAACCTGTGGCTTCAGGATCATTGTTGCCAGATAATCCTAGCTTAGTAATCATAAAAATTACTTCTATATTAGTGCTGCCTGATCATCTTCAAAAGCTGGGCTGCAAGAGCATCTACCGGCAGTGCACTTGCCTACCTATTTCTCATCTTGTCACTGGCAGCCTCACCACTGGCAATAGGGTCCATGAGCCAGCCATGGGAAATCAGTAACTCTCGATTGTAGAAGTGGTCCTGCTGGAGTACATCCAAGTTACATGAGCAGGAAGTGGTAAAGAAGCAAAGCTCATCTTGCCACTTCCCCTGACACATTGCAGGCTTTGGTTTGCAGGCTGTCTAATACATTTCAAGCTCCTGGATTACCAACACTGAGGTAAGCTAACTCTCTGCCTCCTTCATCATAGGGAATACAGCCTTTCTGTAAACAGTTTTTTGTAGCTGAAAGTTGCGGTCACCCATGCTAAGCCATCACAAAGAAAAGACACTCTTTCAACTTTCAGTAATGTGACTCTTGTCCAAGAAAAAAAAAGAATTTATTGAAGGCTGTTTGTTTTGTCCACAGTTTGTCTCACTCTTGAGATAAAAAGTCACTGCAGAGGGCAAATGCATTTTTCTATTGCATGACAGTCACTTGCTTTATTGGGAACTCTGGCAGAGTAGTGGTTGGTCTATACAGTTTTTTCACATGAGATTGCTGCAGAGAAAGAGATCTCTTGGAATAAGCATGCACAACAGGTTGTTTGAACTTCTGACTTGAGCTAATTACAGCCTCATCCATGCCCTCTCTTCTACCTGCTGATGTCTTTCCATGTCTAGTAACTAATGTCTACCAATGGTTGGTGCATGCTCATCCATATACAAATCATAGCATTGCCTATAAGCTTTCCAGAGGCTAGACTCTGCAGTCTCAGTAGCTCGTAAGTGTTGACAAGTATATACTTCTTCCAGCTTTGCTCTGCCACCAAGACACAGTATGGAAGCCATCGCCAAGTTTGATTTCACTGCTTCTGGAGAAGACGAGTTGAGTTTCCAAGCTGGGGATATGCTGAAGGTAAGTGCAGCCTCAGGCTTGACTAAACAGCATTTCTGAGACTGCTGCCAGATCTTTCTAGGTTCCCATTTGCCTTGACAAAACAGATGAAGACAGACATCTCTAAGCCAGAATACAAATGCAGATTACTCATCTCCCATAGGGTTTGCAGTAGGTCAACCAATAGTTCCCAGGTTACTTGAGTCTGTGTCCACTTTCTGATTTTATGTCCATAAACTATGGATTTAGTTGCCCTGCAGTTCTCTGGTACTCAGCAAGGAAGGATAAATACCTTTGCTGAGGCAGAGATCACGTTCTTTGGTAGACAGATTTTGAGGGTCCTGTCTGTTTTCATTGACTACATAAGTAGTCCACAGTGAGTACATTCAGATGTCTATGTCTAAAGGCAGGCAGGATGAGTGCAGTCTAGAGAGATTGCCATCTTCCTTATTTCCAGCTCTTAAACTATATAAAAGATAATTATCATCCATTATAGAACTTATATCTAACTTTTCACTGTTAGTAATTATTGTTAGTTGCTGCAGAGATTTTAGGCAATTGCAAATAGAAGAGGAAAAGTCTATGAGACAATCTGTTACACACATAATGGAAGAGTTTAAGAGGTCCCAGGCTCTATAACACAAGGGCTTTATAACACAAGAGTGTTATATAGGGTCTTGCAGGAATTTGGCAATGGAGGCAATGGCAAAAGTAGAGTTGATCATATACAACACAGAGCATGTGAAAGTCTCATTAAAGTTGATTTGTATGTGTTATGGTAGAACAGTTCTTGTTAACGCTACTGAAGTCCCACAGATTAGGTCACTCAATGTTTCACTCTAATTATTTATCTACTTCTCAGCCCCCAACTGTTCTGTTTCAGTTGGAAATGCCTCAGTATTACTCCTCTCTAAGGCCTTAATTCCTCCACTGCCCAAAGGGCAATAGTATATAAACCCTTATTAGGCCAGGGAGCCTTTGCTACCTCCCTGTGCAGTCCCAGATATTCCAATTAATAATCAGATATTGGGTCTCAGCCTTGTCTTTTCCATCACCACCGTTTTTTATCTTATTGGCTTTTTAATTCTTGACACTTGAACAAAGTGGCATCCAAACTCATTAATACCAGATTTTTCCAAAGAGCTGTGAGAAGGTTCTGGAGAAATCACTGCCTCTCTTCAGCACAGATAAAAACTCTTATTCCTAATTCTTCCCCAGTACATCACTACTATCCCGTGACCTTAAACTGATACCTTCTTTTTCAGGAAACCATTCTCAGGAGGCTTCCATCAAGTCCCCGGCTGGGTTGATGGTGTTGGCCAAATCACTTTTCATTCTGTTCCTCAGTTTCCCTTCCTGTAAAATCGTTATAAATTAGAGCTTTTTTTCAAAGTACACTGGAAGCTAATGATGAAAAGTGTCAAATAACACTACACGCCAGTAGTAGTAGTAGTAGTAGTAGTAGTAGTATTTGGCACAGAGAATTTACTACCAGAAAAATCAAACTGCCTCTTTCTTTAATATCCTTGAGGCAAACAAAATAACACCTTAGCCACCCAAGCCATAGTAGCAGTAAATTAGCCTGAGTAACAGCTCTGTTCTGGCATATGCACAGATACATTCATGCCCCATCACGAGCCCCCTCCTGCTGCCTGCAACAACCTGCTGATTTATAAAGGAGATAAGATGAAATACTGATGTAGAGATTAGAAAACAGGAAACATGAGGCCCTCAACCAGCCGTGACAGGAGGAAATCCACCCTCTCACCCCCCCCACATCCTTCTCTGGGAGGATGACACACTGAGAGAAACCTGCCAGCCCTGCAGTGACAAACAGCAGGTGGGTCTTTGTGGAAACCTTGCTTCCAGCAGAGCAAGGGCCTGAGCATGAGCAGGAGGTAGCTATCATCCCCTTTGTTCAGCCACAGCAGTAAAAAAGACCCTTTAATCCAGCACCCAGGCATGAGGAAAGCAGTGACTATACAAGTAGGGAACTCCACAGCTTTCTATTCCCTAACTTTTCTGAATCCAAATGCTTAAAAAAGGCCTACGTGGCAGGGAAGGCAATGCAGAATTGGCCCCAGAGACAGTAACATCCTGTTGCCAACACCAAGCAGTTAGAATGTGCCTTAGGCTCCCAAAACCATGAGATTGGCTCACGAAATAAGTATTATTACTGTTAACAATAGATTTTAAATTAAGTCTGTTCCACTTGCTTTCTCCTTTTAAAACTGTCATGGCTTATGCTTTTAGGCGCCTCTCCAAAACCAGAAAGAACAGAAGCATGCTCTATTTCATAAAGCGGAATTCTGTTCCAGGAGTTGGAATGTCAAGCAAAACACCAAAGACCACAACATTTGCTGTAAAATCACAGCATGGTTGTATTCCTGTTCTCTCTCCTCTAGCTTAGGGCTGTATCAGAGGCCATCAGCCAGGGAGCAGTGGATTTGGGCAGCCCTTGGTCAGCAGGGAAGTTCCTAAGGACCATTATAGTTAACATTAATGTGAGCACACTTGAAGCTGCTCCAGTGTGTGCTGTGGACTGACTTCCTGCTATCCTACAATCTCCTAAGTGTAACAGTATCTTTAAAATACTTTTTGCCTCCTTCTTTCATCTACCTTGGCAAAGCTCAGGGCAGCTGAAGACTTAACCCACTAAATAATCTCTTGTGAAATGACATGTGAGAGCACATGGTAACATCTGTGCAGTTGTAATGCACACACACACGCATATATAGCTGCATATCCCTCCATATCCTGCACAGATATTTGTTCTTCCCTTGCGAATCTGAGATGCTCCAGTACCAACTATTAAAAGCAGCACAGAGAATAACTTAAACCCCTATTAAGTCTTTCAAAGCTGAAATTTCTCCATTTCACAGGCATCAGAGACACAGTATCCCCAGCCACCTGCACAGATGAAGGGATAAGGTTAACAAGCAATCTGTCTAATTCTACTTGGGCTTTTCACTGCTTGTTTGCTCTGAAGTGGTCATCAGCCACTAACCTTGTTCCACAGTGACTGGGAAGTACAGCATGTGTAGCATTCTCTTCTTACAAGAAATTCTAGGTTTCTGCCAGAATCGTGCTTACTTTTGCCTTTCTCCAGAGACATGTTTATTCCATCCATCTCTCAATCGCAGGTTTTGAGCTCCCAGGAAGAGTGGTACAAGGCTGAGCTCAGAAGTCAAGAAGGCTACGTTCCTAAGAACTTCATTGATTTTCATGTTCCCCCGTAAGTGGCACAGAAACAGTGTGTACCACCATTGCTCATTTCCTCAGAGTGCTGTCAGGAGCATGGGTGCGAATGCGTGCAGAGGAAGACAGGACAGAGGAAGCACTGGCTGTAACACTTGGAGGCTGGCAAGGATTGCCATAATGCTACTTTGCAGTTCTGCCAGTGCAGCACATTTCTACCCCAAAGCACCCTCTGTTCTTTCGGAGCTGAATAGTTCTCGATGCTCTCTATCACTCCCAAGTGACTCTTTTGTTACTGCTGCTCAGAGGGATGTCACTGAGATGTGGCAGGAACTGCATTTAGATCTCCTCAGACAGAAGGAGAATAGTCATGATGTGAAGTCTTGGCAACAGAGATAGAGGCTGAGCACAAAAGAAAAAGCAAGAGATCTTTCTGAAAACGAATTATAAAAAAAGTAATTCCCTCCCCCTTCCACTCTAAACTACATTGACTCCCTTTTCCCACCCTGCCATCCTCATTCCCTCCCCCCGCCAAGTACGTGTGTGTTTCTCTCGGTGCACTAGAGGTCAGTGCAATGCTGCGCGAATGTGACAGCTGGTGTTACTCATGGATCGGCAGAGATGATAGACCAGACATGCCGCCCCGCTCACACATACACACGCTCCACGTTTCGTGACTGCACACCCAAACACAGATCTGTCAGAGGACAGGTGTACCTGCATTTCTCTCTTCCCGCTGAGGAGACGGCACTTGCACTTTCGGAAAGGTCTGATGGGTGTTTAAATGCATATTAAATGTGCTCTCCAGCTATATGCCATAAATATGACAGTGGAGGGATTTTTACAACCTTTTTCTTTCAGTTGGCAGAAATGCTCCCTGAAACTCCTCTCATTGTCCTCTTTTTTTCAAAAGTGCTGCAGCATTTCAGGAACAAGCAGGCAGAACAAGCACCAAGCCCAGTACTGCTGGCTCCCAGTACTACTGGGAGCATACGGGGATTCTGAGATTACAAATAAGCACCTCTGTCCCCTTGGAGGTGGCACTTACTGGCCTTTGTGGATATAAGCCAGCCTGCTTGGCTGAGCTGAAGGACGTTATTAGTTTGCTGTGCAAATATGGGCTTGTACTTTTGGGCCTCAGGGGGATGAGATCTTCCAGTCAGTTGTTCTTGTTTGCTCTTTCACAGGGCTGTGGCATCACGCAGGAACACTGGCAGCTTCTTTTTTCACACACATTTTTCTCATGATGCTTTCTCCATGCAAGAGCTGTGAAGAAATATTTCCACTTTGATGCTTTTCTAAGAGCAGCAGGTCTGCACTTGGAAGCAGTTCAGGCCAGATACCAGAACCAGATGTAGGGAAGAAAGCTGCCTCCTATTTTTGATGGGTTGGTTTTGCCGATCTTTTTCTTGTCAAGTAATCATTGAGATTGATTATCAAGGCTCATTAAAGTCTGATTTCCCTTTGCTAATGATACATAGGTAAACTGTGATGATAATAAGAAACTCCAAAGTGGAAATCACAGAGCTTATGAAACTATCAGTCCTTAACTTTAATGCAATATAGGCAATTAAGCATTACATAAAAGCAGATCACAGATTGTAGATCTTCTTAGCTGTGGAGTGGACATATGCATATGTACGTGATGATTTTTTTTATCTACTGAAAAGTTCCTATTCACATTGTATTCTTTTACTTTTTATGGTGACTTTCTCATTATTAGTCCAATGCCTTATACTATTGTTTGTTATGCCTAGCTAAATTTGCACAAGTGTGCTTACGTATTCTGTGCTTCTGAGATTTTATGGTATTATAACTCTTGCAGGAACCAATTTATTAGTACTAAAACTTTCATGGTTCGCTTCTGCTAAAAATTTATGTGTGTCCCTTGCAATATATCCATCACAACCCAGTAATTTTCAATCAGTTTACCAAAAAGCAATTTGATGTATATGTCTGAGAATTATGTGTATGTATGTATACATACACATTTGTAATTTAAAATTTCTTTGACTAACACCTTATTGTACTGTGCCTGTAATTACAGTTTCAGCTGAGTGTTGCTTCTTAGCAGGCCAAAGTTTACATTGTTCTCTTTGCATCTACGTGCTTTTACTGCTCAAAGAAAATGGTCTGCACCCATCAAAACCCTCTACCTTAGCATACTCATGGCCACTGGGAGTAGCCATGTGGGCTCCTCTGATCCTTTTGTTTTCTTTCCTCCACCCTGCTTATTCACATTCTCCCTACCCTCAACTTTTTTATTCCTCACCTTAATTCACATCCTTATTCACACTTTCATGATTTTTCCCACTTGACAGCTGGTTTGATGAGAGGATATCCCGCCATGAAGCAGAGAACCTTCTCATGAGCAAAGGAGTTGGCTCCTTCATCGTCCGTGCCAGTCAGAATTCTCATGGTGACTTTTCCATCTCTGTCAGGTATCTGCTTCTCACAGCATATTCCTGCCTCTTCTTCTGTGTAATGGTGTCCCTAGCCTCCTCTTGACAGGATTGCTAATGTGACGTAGCCTCTTGGGAAGTTTGCGTGCTGCCAGTCTTTGGCAGTGCTGCTGTTGTGAATGAGAACAAATTAGGCATCTGATTCCAAAGTGTTTCTGCCTCTTTTCAAGTGACACAGTGAATGCCCCATTCCAAAGCTGCATCCCCTGGTGACCTGCTTCTCTGAAAGAGCTACAGCAAAGCAGAGTGGTACATAGAACGTCTCCCACAGTGCTTAACATGTGTCTTTCATTTGTATTAATTCCCTGACAGCTCTGGTTACTGAACCAAGAATTCAGCTACTACCTATTAAGAGATTACAATTACATTGTTAACTTATTTCCCACAGGTCACTAAACAGCCATTGGACAAGGAATGGTTTTTCATTGCTTGCAGCCCAGTTGCATTTCAGCAACTTAGTGTAGCCCAGCCCTTCTCAGAGCATATGCTTCAGAGCAGTGCTCTTATATGATGGTTGGTTTCCCAATTTTCAGTCAAACAACTGATAATCAGTTTTAAATTAGAGTCATGGTTAACGATGCCTTTTCCAAGCAGTATGTACCTTCTGATTCAGGAAGCTCAAAAAGTATGTGGGAGGAATGCAGGAAAACATTCTGGTTACATTTATACCAATTTATACCAACACCAATAAGTACAGGGAGGCTCCTTTTCTGGCTGTGAAGTCAAGCAATGTGGCAGAGCTCAGATCTGTATGGCTAAAACCTCTTCACCCACCAAACTGAACACCTGTTTTCAAGCAGCTCACTGTGAACAGTTCCTGGTCCGTTCTGTCCCCTTAACCACAGCCCAGCACTATCTAAGGGAGAGCTTCTGCATTTAAATCAAAACCATGCTAACACGAACAGCCTGTGTAACTGTAGCACTTCAGGACAGGAGTCATCATCTGAAAATTCCTTCTTTTTTTTTTTTTTTCTTTTGGGTAGGGAGAATTACCAGTAGTAATGATATCACACTAGATTTTATGCAATTATAAAACTCAATGTGTGGCTGCACCTGACTGTGTCTGCATGTATTGGCGATGCCCATGGTGTATAAAGGTGTAATAAATCTCTTATAGCCAATTCAGACTGGATGCTAACAAGACCTGCAGAGGCTGGTGAGTAGACTACAACTGCACCTCTTCACCCTGGAAGCTCCTCTGGCCTTTATTTCAAAGGAGAGGCTTTAAAGCCCTATGCTTTGTTCTGATAGTGCTTTGTGACTGGGCAGCCCTGGGGCACTCTGTGTTTGTAAATTGATGAGTCTTTTGAAATAGAGCCACATTTGGGTCCAGGATGCACAAGGACTGACGGTGGCTTGACTTTTCAGAAGTCTAGGTTTGGCCAAGCAAGAAGTTTTGGTACCCTTCTGGAAAGGACTTTTTGCAAAAAGGTAGAAATGCAATCTGTTTGATGATCTCTTACTTTTCCAATTGGATCCAGGCATGAAGATGATGTGCAACACTTCAAAGTGATGAGGGATTCAAAGGGTAACTATTACTTGTGGACAGAGAAATTCCACTCCCTAAACAAGCTTGTGGACTACTACAAGACAAATTCCATCTCCAGGCAGAAACAGATATTCCTAAGGGACAACAGCCAAGAAGAGAAGGTAAACACAAACTATCCTTTGGAATTTCTCAGTAAGAAACCTTTCTGTGGAAGGAATTGATCCCATGAGAATGTCTTGGCATGGGGGGAGGAGAGTCTGCCCTTGGAAACACAGCCACATCATTACACTGGTGGCCACTGCAACACAGATTTTTAGTGGATTCAGTGGTATGTAGAGTTATGTAATTGAGCAGAATGTTCTGATTCTGCTTTGGATAGCAATAGACAGTACTGCAAATCTGCATAGAGGTGCTTTGTTAAAGGTGTGCTAAGATCCCAGAGCTGAAATTCTAAGATGCCTTACAAAGCCAAGAAAAGCAGGACTTACCTTATTGAAATGCCTAGATTTCATAAGGGCAGGTACAGAGCTGACTGGTAGTTGTGACTGAGAAGAATTTGAGTCTGGTTTCCTCAGTGTCCTTGAATGCACCCAGAGTGCAAATTACAACCGCAAGTTTGTCTGCTCAGAAGAATCGTCCATCTTCTGCTATCAAGCAAACACTGTAACAAGTGTGGAAGAACACAGGGCAGAACCCAGAGCAGTGCCTGGTAGGAACTGAAAAGTACTACTGAGAAGAACATAGCAGACACAGGAACAAGCTGTGCCTTCAGGGAAGGTGTAGTAGGTGTTTCAGAAGGCAGAGAAATCCCAATCCAATGAATGCCTGGTTTTGTGCCAGGGGAACAAGCAAATGACATAGTAGAGACTGCTACGCATTGCACTCACAGTACTGGGAGCAAACACACCTGGTCACTGCAGTAACCAAAGTCCTGCTTCACTGGGAAACGGATTCTGGTATTAAATTACCAGGATGTGCAGTCACAGGCAAGGTGTGTGACTTGCTGACTGCAGCAATAAAGTTTTATAGGCTGCATGTGGGTCATTCTTGCTGGCTCCAAACATGAGAAGATGCATTTTTCAATCTGAAGAAGGGGCTTGGGTTGCTGTCTCCTTCTAGACCACTTATATAGAGCTTTAAAATGCATTATTAAGATACAAAATAGAGGCTATGGGACCTGTGAGAGAGATCACAGTGAAGAACTGTCTGGGGAAGGAGAAAGCAAGGCTGTATGCATGTATATCAGTAAAACAACCTGTTTGGGCTGACTGTGATCAGGAAGGAAAAGAGATGCATTTGCTCCAAGATGCAGACACGCAAATGAAAGAAGTCAAGTTTGCTTTGGTAAACTCTCTGTACATTTGTTATGGTGATGGGCTCAGCGGGGTATGTTTAGTACTCATCACAGTGGGATTTCTGTTTACAATTCAAATTTCTAGATGCTACAGCTATATGATAAAATAGTCATAATATATAGATTTCTGTGCAGAGACAAATTAAGTCTAAGGGCAGTATTTCAAAAAATAGCTTGGTTCCTGTGCTGGACCTCACACCAACATTTTCAGCCCAGCACCTCCCATTACTGCCCAGTCTTCAGATGGGGAATGACTATGAGAAAGATCTAAAATATAGGATTCCTGATTTGTTGACCTGTTCAGAGAGATGGAATTGTTTATTTGAAAGAGCCTACAAAGTAGAGGATAGTGGTAGTGATCACTGTGCAATGACTGCTGAGCTTTAGTCAAGGACGTGGTAGGTAGAAAAAGCTGATCTCACTTTTGCGATCTTGCTTCCATCAGGAGAGGCGTGGTGGGAGCCTGGAACGGATGGGCCGGGAAGGATTCCACCTAAGTGGAGCAGCTGGAGAAGATCATTCTTCTATATCCAAGAGATATGTCGAGCATGCTATCCCCATACTGCAGCAGCAACAGGTACTGCCACAAACAAGGGGCTGGGATGTTGAGCCCAGACACAGGAAACATTGGCTTTAATTGCTTGGTAGCAAGTGAACAGTTGCTTTATCAAAAATCTGCCACCCTCAACCTGCTTTAGGAAGCAGAATTAGGTCTTTTTACAGGAGTAGCAGCAGTGATGGTTCAGCCTAGGGGTGTTTTTTGATATGTAATAAATATGTGGGCTTTTATTTAGTTCTGCAATCTGTGACTGACTGACTGACAAACCAGAAAAAATAGAAGTGTGCAGTGACCCTTTTACTGGGAACCTAGGAGTACCCTTCAGGTGGTTTTGGTGCCCCATCCTAAAAACTGGAAAACAAGCAATGATGTCATGTTCTTACTTGGCTTAGGAAAAGACATGAAGTATCATCCAGTGAGAGTGCAGGAAAATGCTCACAAATCTTGCACTGCACGCACATGCACGGTTTCAGGAACTCGTCTCTAGTCTATAGAACGAATGAAACCTTGCTGTCTGTTTCTTTTTTCTGAGTTATGCTACTGACATTCAGCACCACAAAACACATCACAGGGATGAGAAATTACTATAGTAATCCTAGGAGAGTTTGGTTTCCTCCGGAACATTCCTTCTCCTCCGCCGTATTCTGGTTCCTCTCTGCACTCTTTCATCATGTTGCTTCCCTGATGTGTGATGTTTCTTTACTCCTTTGATTGCATAGGAATGGAGAGAACAACAGCAGTACCTGGTGCTGTTTTCAAATTTCTTCCTGGTTAATTTTTGGGGAATAGTTTTCCTGGAGTTGGCTCATGTCTCTAGCTAGTCAGCGTAGCATCATCCAAGGAGAGGCCTTTTCTTACTAAAGGGAAGAAATCCAAAATGTCCCTTAAGGCATGAGAGCTCACATATAGCAAAGCCAGAGGCAATGGTGAAATGGCTGTTCTCTCATCAGACAAGCTGTGTGGCCTGTTAAGGGACTGCTGGTGGAATAATACAGGTTCTGACAAAGCTGAGTGCCTGCACCCTTTGCAGCACAGTCTATTCATGAGTCACATTTTATATGGAGCAGAAACACTCATAGGAGTGAAGCACCCATGTCATAAGTCTTGTGACTGCAAAGCCACATTGAGTTCACCCTCTTTCTGGCAGAGACAGGTGAGGTGCAAATTGTGCTCCAGTTTCAGGCAGCCTCAGCAACATTTTAGGCTGACAAAGGCACATGTGAGACCAAGGGAGTTTTTGGAGGAATGCTGTAGGAAAGGAAGCGGCAAGAGGGATAGGACAAAAGCTGTTTACAAGCAACAGCAAGCACAAGCTGTTGTTCTTTCTCCCCGCTGTTGACACAGCTCATCAGACCCTGTGTCTCTGAAGCACTACTGCAATCTGAGCTAACATGATTTAAGGTTCTGTCACACCCTTATCATAAAAACAAAAGCTTAGTGCCTGCACTAAGGGCCTGGGAGGATAAAGAGACTCAGCACCTCTCAGCTGTGCACACAAAAGAGAACTTGCTTCCTAGATGTTTCCTACTTCCTCTCTCCATCTGTCTGGGTTGATTTGTGTTGATATGACTTCAGATGTGTGGTCATATGGCTACTTTTCTTTGAACCTGATTTTGTCTCGTTCTTCTTTGGTTAATTTGGCTACTAGATTCTCAGGCTTGCTTGCGGTCCTTTGCAACATGGAGCAGCCCAAGAAAAAGTAGAGTCCTCAGATACAGTCAGCTGCATCAGCATCACTGTCATCCTGCCAGCATATAGGACAGAGGAAAAGCAAGGAGAGGGCAGCACTGGGTCATAATAACTCCAGATTGGCAAAAGTCCCCTTGGCAAGCATGGCTTTTTATCTGTGAGTTAAAACAACCTTAGTTTTTCTCCAAAAGTCTTAGAGACCAAAAAAGGCCATTTTCCCCAGCAGCTGTGATACACATCTAAGAACACTCAACTTTCAACTTCTAAAAAGTAAAATCCAAAATAGAAGAGTCAAAGGTGACCTCTTCCATGAGGGTCACTGCTTGCAGAACTGGAGCACTGGGACAGTATTGGAAGCAGATATCTAAAATTATTTACTTGAGGGCTGGCCCCTGACACCCTTCTCACCAATGACTCTTAAAGCCCCTCATTTATACATCTCAGCATATATATGTGTTGTGGTTTAATCCTAGCTGGCAACTAAGTACCATGTAGCCACTCACTCACTCCTCCTCCCTCTGGTGCAAGTGGGGAGAGAATCAGGAAAAAGGTAAAACTCATGGGCTGAGAAGAAAACAGATTAATAATTTAAATAAAAATAATAATAATGATAAAGATGATGATGATGATAATAATAATAAAAGGAAATTTTAAAAAGAGAGAAAAGAATAAAACAACAAAAACAAGTGATGCACAATACAATTGCTCACCACCCACTGACTGATTTCCAGCCAGTCCCTGATCATAGAATCATAGAATCATAGAATCAGTTGAGTTGGAAAGGACCTCCAAGATCATCAAGTCCAACCCTTGATCCACGACCGCCATGGTTGCTAGACCATGGCACTAAGTGCCACATCCAGTCTCATCTTAAAAACCTCCAGGGACGGAGAATCCACCACTTCCCTGGGCAGCCCATTCCAATGCCTGAGCATATTCCAGTGCCTGATTGGCCTCTTCTGGCCAACTACCCCCAGTTTATATACTGCCATGATATTCTATGGTATGGAATATCCCTGTGGCCAGTTCAGGTTAGCTGTACTGGCTATGCTCCCTCACAGCTTCTTGTGCACCTACTCATTGGCAGAGCAGGGGAAACTGAAAAGTCCTTGATTTAGAGTGAGCCACTACTTCACAACAACTGAAACATCAGTGTGTTATCAGCAGTATTTTCATATTAAATACAAAACACAGCACTGTACCAGCTACTAGGAAGAAAGTTAACTCTATCCTAGCCAAAACCAGGACAACGTGACTTTTTTCTCGCTGTTTTCTTTCTAGGAAAGATATGGTGGGAGTCTGGACAGGAAAGATGTGCTGCATGGACTAAGGGATCATGGCCAAGGAAATGCAGGAGCTATGCAACGGAGACACACAGACCCACTGCACCAGCAGACACCGGTAGGTGACATACCTGGAAGGTCCCATCTGCCTGGGCTCCTTAGCAATGGCCAAGCAGTCTGGGCAACGTCACCTGCAAGGAGGTTGCAGAGGAATATTATATTAAGGACATATCTTAAAAGATGTTTCTGAGTCTCAAGACTCTATCCCAGCCACTTGAATCTGCTTCTGGGGTACTCTTGAGGGTAGGACTACAGTGTTACATGAGCATAGTTCTAGGACTGCTCTCAAGGTCAGCCTTAGTTAACATGCAGCCTTAGTGGAAGAGGAAACTCAGCATGAGCTCAACTAAATAGACATCTGGGACACTGGCATGAGCACAAGACAGCAGAAGACATTTCTGAAAGCCTAATGATCTAGGAGAGCTTCATGTCCATCAATGCAAGGGACTATGAAGTACCTTTGCCACCCCAGCCAGGCTGTGACTAAGCTCAGTAGCTGGAAGTGCTGTACATGTTTTAAGTTCTACAGAGAGCTGCCTCATGATGCTGTGCCATGCTGCAGTACTCTTTCTGTCTTGAAATGCACTTGTAGTCACACTATCTCTTCCACTAATTTTTTCTCAGTCCTGAGAAGGCCTGTCATCATTCGGCTCTACTTGTCTATACCTGGCACATCCTCAGACCTACTATGCCATCAAAGTGGGACTCACCTACCTGACACCCTTAGCTGTCAGAGCTTAACACAGAGGATGTGGGCATGATCCAGCTATTATCTGCAGACATCTCAGACCACTGCCCTACTTGGATCCATACCTGTCAGTCAACCTTAAGTAACCACCTGCTCTGCAAATTCCTACTATGTGAATGCCCATATAGAATATAGTGTCTTTCTCTGCCTCAGCCTGTGATTCCACTGCCAACTCTAAAGTATTTCTCCATCAGCTCAGTGTGACCTAAGGAATGCTCCTCTTCCTTGAGGAAATGTACAGATTAGCCCACAACAACCAGAAAACCTAGATCCAAGGAGAGAAGGGAAGGACAGCAGACCTTTCTCGAGTGTGAGAGAAAGTGACCAGATTGGTTTAGGAAATATGGAACAAACTGAAAAACAGGGACATGTCTTTTCTGGGGTTTGGGGGGGGGTGGTTGTTTATTTGTTTGTTTGTTTGTTTTTGGCAAAATCCCTAAATCTTTATTATAATCCAGCTCAAAATACAATGGTTTTTATCCCTCAGAGGCTGTGGCAATCAATAACATGCCCTTGCCTGCCACATCTCATCAGTGATCTAGAAGCCAGAAATACAGTCATAGGAAGGTCTATATGTCCAGCCAAATTATTAGGAGCCAGGTCTAAGTAGGGGCCTGAATGGAAGATTTATCAGAAGTTGGTCTGTCTTCAAACAGATCTCTCAACCTATCCCTGCAAAATATACCTCCCAAATTATCCATGCCCTGTGGTGTGGGCACCAACAATTTCCAAGAAAGGAGCTCATGCTATGTCCTTTAAAATCTGATTTCTGGCCAAAATGGGAGACTGACTGCAAAGTCTCTTATGATTAAGCTCTCATAAGAAAAAAAAAATCTAACCATAGTGCACATTAAAGTGCAAACCCAAAATAAACTGATATACCCAAACAGATCCTAAATCCTTTTGATCTCAGGGGACTGACCTTGGGGAGAGTGCAAAGAAGGTTTAAGACCCTTCCCTATGCCCCAGAAGTGCCTGAAAGAGCAAGTATCTTCTTCACAATGTTGACTACACTTGCCTATGTGCTGCCTCTCATAGACCTTTGCTGGCCAAGGACACATTTTGATATCTGTACCAGCACCAGCTCAGCTCTCCAGAGCCACTCACTTACAGTTACAGCCCTGCAGGGCTCAGGCAGGAGCCCTTTTCTGTGCTCCCATAACTGGCTTCTGACATGGCTGTCATGGCTGCCCTTCCAGGGCAGAGGTGACAGAGCCATGAGAACACTATTTCCTAAGGACCTGCTCTCAGTCTGACTTTTCACCTTATCGTGCAAACACCCACGAATACACTGAGGCTGCTGAGAAACCAAGCACCATCCCTTGGGTGTCCCAGTAAATTAGTTCCTACTTCCTGGCATCTTGGCCACTTCCTGGTTTAATTGCAAGTTGGTCTAAATTTCATTACTGCTCGTCCTCTCATAGTGAAGATATGTACTGGGAGTTAAGAGGGGTGACAGCAAGATGGTCTTTAAGAGTTCTGGCTCATTGTTCCCTGCCTGTCTCTCTCTCCTTTCCAGCGAACGCTATGGGTCCGTGCCTTGTACGACTTTGATGCTGTGGAGCATGATGAGCTGGGCTTCCGTAGTGGAGACATCTTAGAGGTCCTGGACAGCTCCAACCCTTCATGGTGGAAAGGACGTCTGCGTGGGGAACTGGGTCTCTTCCCTGCCAACTACGTCACACCAGTGCTCCTGTGAGGGCACAGTTTGCCCCACAGGGCCAAGCTGGAGCTGCTCTTCTGAGATGACAAGGGACAGAGAAGGAGTGCATCTTCCCTGGCCACCAGGACATACATTGGTTTTGGTTTTGTCTTAATTTATTGGCAACTTATTTTTTTAAATGTTGGTATGAAAGGGAAACCTTTGAAGAAAATATTATTTTTTCCCCCTATTTTTCACCTTCATGAAGGGGAGGAGCAAAAATCCAGGACTGTTCATTGAGACCTTGCTGGATCCTCCCTGCCCTTTCACCTCTTTGGCTAATGATTGATAACTTCCTGCAACTAGGTTTATTCTGTGGAAAAGCCCCTCAGACTTCAGGTTCAGTATTCAGATGATCCTTCCCCTTCCTTTTGGAATTCACCCACAAGAATTAAATGATCATTGGTAATCCCATCAATCCTTCAAGTAGGAAAGGAAAGTGAAGGGGCTTTAGGTTGAGGTTCAAGGCAATTTGTATTTTTCTAAATAGCTTCTGGCTTACCCATCTCCTACTGTGTGTATGGACTGTATGGATATACCAGATGAAGGGAAAGGATCCTGTGAGCTTTTGTACAAAAAAACCCCAGTGGTGAAGGTATGGGAGGGCAAGAACCTACTTTCTTTGTTGCTTCTGATAGTCCTGGTCTTCTTTCCACACCCCATAACAACTTACACCATTTTCAAGCTGCTCTCTTAGGTATCTACACTTCTGCTAGATAGCCTGGTTAGAGCAGATCAGGCCATTCAGCTAAATTAGTATCCACTGGATTGGATAACAATTAATATCCCTCACTGGTTCATTTTGCAAAACTGAACTGGGGAGGGGTTAGAGAGAAGAGGTTTTACTGGTTTGGTGGCAGAAGTTCTTTCCCTGAGAACTCGGGGTGTTGAGGAGCACTGTGTACACAACTCTGCCTTACCAGTGGAATGCCTCATCCAACAGGTTAAGCTGTTACTTTACCATATGCAGAGAATAAAGTTGTGGCCATCAAACAGTCTGTTCTATGTTCCAGTTTCTTTTGGATAAAGTAGGTTTTCAAATCATTGCTGAGTGAATGCCCAGATGTGATAGAAATATACTGCAAATGCACATTAAAAATGAACCAAACTCTGTGAAGGATACACTATTCATAACTACTGCTCAGGCAAGTTGATATTAAACAAACTGCCTGAATTTTTCACAACATGTGGGACCTCAGCAGTCAGCATGGAAGTGATGATTAATCATTCTTGAAAAAGAAAGAGAAGGCAAGTGAAAAACTCTAAAAATAAATCAGACTCAGCAATAAAAAAAATTGTACTTATCTTTTTCTAGTCCCAGTGGGAGAAAAATAATCCAGGAAATAGGTTCTTTAGGTAACGTCCAATTCAGTGTAGTTGGCCTGAACAAAGCTGCCAGCTAGACAGAGTATTAGCAGAAAGAACCCGTTTTGAGAGAACTCCACCAGAATCAGATTATTCATGGGTGAAGTAAAACGAGAATATTTAACACAGCATATAAACTCTAAAGAGAATAGAAAACTTTGAAAGACACATTAAGAGCTTACCTCCATTGGCTACCAGGGAGGTCCAGGAAATGGAAAGACACCATGTGGCTGCCAGGGCTGGACTTGGCCCTGTTCTCTCACAGAAGCTCTTTTCTGGGCCTTTAGTGTCTTCTTTTGAAGGGAAGAGGTACCTTATTATTTGTGTGAGATACCTCTTCTTTTGGAACGAGATACCTTATTATTTGTGTGAGGATGTAACCTCAGTGATTGCATAGTTTGAAGAGTGTTTTGTTGTGATTTGCCCTTTTTTAACCTTTATGTTTGTTAGTTTGATTTTTGCTAAAGTAGTAACAAATTTGGAAGAGAGTGTTAACATTCAGTCAGAGAGACCAGGGGGAAGATGGATGCAAAGAAACCAGAGACTAGCAAAGGCAGAAGAGGGATAAAAATGATGAATCTTTCATATTCAGCTCTGACTGAAACAGAAGAAATGGTGTGTTCACAATTATTCCCATCATGTCAAATCATCTTTCAATTAATTTCTTTTTTTTATTAGTTATGTTTAAAACTAGAAGCAATGTCTCCTTTTCCTTTCCTCAGCACTCTAAAGACCCTCTTGGTAGTGAAGATGTAGTTGCACAAAATTAATTGAAGATAATGCACTTAGCAGTTTGACAGCTCTTCACACATTTGAAACCCCTTTACAGAGATTAACTAATTAAGCAAGTCTAAGTAGTGCATTTTAAGTACCCCCTTGTTAACTCATGATTCATTTGAGGAAGAGGTAAATTTTCACGTGATTTTTTTTAATTGATGTTTAAGGAATTAATACTTAAGGTAATTAGTATTAAAGGGCTGCTTGCTAATTATGGACAACATACCAGAACCACAGTAAAATCATGATTTCTCATTATGAGCAGCACCTAATGACAGCAAAATTACTAGGAGGCGAAAGTATCATGGCGTCTGTGATAACTACACTAGTGCCATGTTCTGTACCGCCTTGTGCAGTGGCCAAGCTTTGGTCTGCCATACCCAGTCTCTGTTGCCTCTGCTGTTGTCCTTGCCTGATCCCCAGAGCAGAGGCAGTGTTACCTGCATTTACTGCACATGCCAGTAGCTGGGAGGCACAGGCGTCAGACGGCATTTTTGTACCCTCCCACAGTAAAAGCTGTTTTCCTCCCAGCAAAACAACAGCACAAAGAACCCCAGCTATTCCCAAGTCCATGGAGACTCTGGATACAAGGGGAGGCAAAGTGGGGAGTTTTGTGGGCATAGAAGGTGCTGTAGTCACAGGAGAGAGGTTGTTTTCCATGCCCCATGCCATTTTCTCCCTGTGAAATTCTCTCTCCCATAAATTGGGCCACTTAATACGCAGAGAGAGAGAGAGAGAAAGAGACACTCTCCTCCTCCACCCATATATCCTGTCAACCTTCCAGCTCCTTCTTCCAACAGGTTTTAATTGTAACACAGTCCTTGTTAATATTGTGGTGATTCACTTACACCTGTGCTGTGAAAGCCTCGGATTCTATTGCCCGTGCAGAAGCACATGTTAGCAACCTAAGACTGGAGCCTTAAGGTGACAGTGTGGTGCACTGAGTTCACCTGACATTTACCAGTGTTTTGGAAACCTCTGGAAAACATCCCAAGAAGGTCCACTGCAAAACTGAAAAGTGAAGGAATAAAGAGGGAATTTTGTTTGTTATTTGTCTTAAGCAAGAAAGACAGTTCATGAGAAAAGAGATTGTAAACAGAGATAAAAGTAGGAAAAGTATGTGGGAAGGCAAACATTATTATAACAAATGAAACAGAGGAAGCTGGACTTGCATAAGGAAAAATAAGTTTGATGAGAACAGCTGAGCTGTGCTTTCTCCTGTCTGAAGTAATTTTTTGCCTATGTTCTGCTGCAGATCCATATTTTGTCTAAAAATGTCTCTGTGATTAATAAGGCTGAGCTAAAAACAGTAAATGGAAATCTCCTGTCATGCAGATGATGTCCAAGCAGTTTTCTGTGCCACAAAAAGAAGGTCTCTCTGTCTTGGTGTACGTGCTTACTGTAACAGCTGTGCTCACTGGAGCACACTGCTGAAACAACGGGATCACGGCAGGTTCCCATCTGACTCCTGACAGGGGAAGAGCACCAGGGAGATGATCCTCAGGGCTGCCACAAAGTCAGCACCTGGTCAGACTGCTGGGCCAGTCTCCTGTACCAGGAAAACAACAAGTTTGTGGGTTGTTGTTGTTATTTTTTAAATAGAAAGTACTTCTCAATTTCAGTGGGCTGTGCAGGAAATTTGAAGCTTTTCACAGCAGCCATCTGTTCATCATTTTTTCTATTCAGCAGCACCTCTCATCCTTCCTCCCCAATGGGATCCTGCTGCTGCAGGCTCTTGAAAGGCCATTTTGCCTTCAGCCCTTGTGGAGAGCAAGCAAGGACGTCAGAAGTGAAAGATCCAGCAGCCAGGACCACATAGTCAGGAGAAATCAGCCCTAAACAGCAATGTGGTATCAGCTGGGACATGTTGCACTGCAGGAGCAACACCCCAGCAGCTGTAGTCCAGCCACAAGGTGAAGGGTGATCTCTGAGTAGGAAGCAACAGGTCTTTAGTTATGTCCATGTCACAGCACAGGGACAACAAGGAAGTCTGGTGGGACAGAAACGTGGCCATCTGGGCTAGGGCTGTGCCAGACTCTTGCTCTGCTTCTGCCGCTCTTTGCCAAGGAGCCTGGCTTACACCAGACGAGGTGTGAGAATTGTTTGGCAGTGCTGCCTGCCCCTGCCCAATGCAGCCCCAGAAGCCTATGTGCACCTCCTTGCAGCTGCAGCCCATCACCTCACTGCTCCTACATGCACTGGAAAGCCAGGGGCCCAACTTTTGCCTCCGTGCTGATAGAAAGTGCTCTGCAGACATCTCACTTCAAATACTTGTTCAAAGCAATTGGCTTAGGTGCTTTTAAATGAAACCCCATAGAGATCAGTTGAACCCATTAGTGTTCCCTAGATGATCCAGGCAGTAACATTTACTGGTTAAAAAGCACTCATGGACTAAAAAGCTCCTTACACCCAGCCACTCCTTGCTGCTGAAAATTTTGTATTTCAATGGGGAATGATGATCTGAGCACGTGATAAAGCCTTTAATAGCCCTGAGGAAGAGGGCAGAACATTGCCATTTTCTCCAATTTTTCAGAGGTAACTTTCATGTGACAGAACTCAGGAGCATTAATTCACATCAAACACAAAAGAAGCTTCTTACATTAGCAGAACTGACAGTAGAAAACAGTCAATGACTTATCTGTGAGCTACAGGACAGCAGGGCAACAGGCAAGTGAATAAGGAAAGGTCACCGACCTTTGTGTGGAGAGAAAATTCAAAGCACATTGTCTACTGCCATTGTGCAAGTGAGAGGTGCTTGGCTGGTGTTGAGCTTGCCAACATGGTAATGCAAAATTTCAAAAATGGCAGGCATGCAGGGATCGTTGTAGACATGCAGAAACAAAATTAGCTCAGGCAACAAAGGGAGGAAGAAGAAACAAACAAATTAAAAGATCTCTAGATATCTTGCAGCT